CATGTTGCTAACGAGACAGGCCCAGAGAGAGGTTTGTATCTGTTTCAGAGTGGTAGCCGTGTTAGTCTGTATCAGCAAAAACAAGGAGGAGTCCTTGTGGCACCTTAGAGACTAACAAATTTATTTGAGCATAAGCTTTCGTGGGCTAAAACCCACTTCATCAGATGCATGGAGTGGAAAGTACAGGAGCAGGTATAAATACATGATAAGATGTGATTTGCCTTATCTATGTTACAGCTGCCCTCTAGTGCCAGGAAAATATATTTGGGTTAGTGCTGTCCTCTCCTGCCAGGAGATTTGGAGGATGAGCTATGCCGGTTGGGAACTCCTACATATGCGCTTCCCATCATGCCCACAATAAAAGTCTGCTGGAGCCCAAAGCTTGGCAGCAAGAAGCATCTGAACTGTATTATGATGGTTATTTACTCTTTGTATTGCCGTTGCGCCTACAGGCCTCAGTCAGCTAATGGAGCCCCGTTGCGCTAGGTGCTGTACACACATCATATAACAGACTGCCCCATGTCTTGAATACATTTGCATTACAGTAGCAGTTAGAGGCCCCACTGGGCTGGGTGCTGCATGTACACATAGCGAGACAGCGTACAGTCTACACCAATGGCTCTCAACCATTCCAGACTACTGTACCCCTTTCAAGAGTCTGATTTGTCTTGCGTACTCCCACGTTTCATCTCATTTAAAAATGACTTGCTTACAAAATCAGACACAAAAATACAAAAGTGTCACAGCACACAGTTACTGAGAAATTGCTGACTTTCTTATTTTTACCATATAATTATAAAATTAATTGATTGGAATATAAATATTGTACTTACATTTCAGTGTATAGTATATAGAGCAGTATAAACAAGTCATTGTCTGTATGAAATTTTAGTTTGTACTGACTTCGCTAATGCTTTTTATGTAGCCTGTTATAAAACTAGATAAATATCTAAACAAGTTGATGTACCCCCTGGAAGCCCTTTGCATACCCCCAGGGACACGTGTACCTCTGGTTGAGAACCACTGGTCTATACAGAACAAAGGGGGGAAGGGAAACAGGGGGGATGACTTGCCCAAACAGATTAATGGTAGCAGCAGGAGTAGCACCTTGATCAGTAGCTCCCAGGTGAATGCCCCAGATACTAGACCACAAGTCTGCAGACTGACAGGTTTAAAAGTCAGTGGCTCAGATCCTTGGCTACAGCTGAGTGGCCCATAGCTCAGCTCAGAACAGGTATGTGCTCAGGTGGCCTTTGCCATCCTCTCTCCAGAGTCCATTCTGTACTGCTCTATTTCCTAGTGTAACTTAGTGCAGCCCTCAGGCTGCTCTGTCATGCCAGTCTCCAAAGGCCTCAAGCGGCTGATACAGCCCTTGGGGATCAGCATCCCAGCCATGCCCCTGACACAGAACAAGGGAGAGGGGTGGCATAGGAAGTGCAGTGCCAGCTCTACATCATAGAAGATCCCCCTACACTGGGGTTATCTCCCATCGGCAGCTCTGCCAGGGGTCTACCACAGTGGGGAGTGTTTAACAGCTGTACCCCAGCTGGGAGCTCTGGGCCAACATCGTTAACTATTTCATGGCTGACCATTTTAGCAGACCCATCCAAATAATGTGCCTACATGATTAATCCCAAACACCCCTTCCATTCCTTCCTAGGAGCCACAAGCTCCAGCTGCTCCCCACCCAAAATGTGGGGATAACATACAAATACAGGGGAATTTAATACAATCAAACTAGCACAGGAGCTACTGTGCTGCTTATGGTTTCATTGCCCTGTCCATACAAACCTTCACTGGCTACTGTGAAGCTCCTGCAGGATTTCCAGTCTGTTGTGCTAGAGAAATCACAAGCCTTGCTACAGAATTTAGATCCAG